TAATCGCCATAGACTTAGAATACTTTTTTCAAGTGTTTCTTGCTTGATCTACGAAACCTAAAAGGGTTCAGAGAACTGAAACGAAATCGAAACCCTTTTAGGTTCCGTACTAAGTACGAAACCTTTTTTTAGTCCAACAAACCTTTTTGGGTTCGGTGTGGTACCATTTTTGTTTTCAGTGTAGAGTTCAGCTTTGATTTGACTTTGTTCATGGTGGGCCAAAGCTCCAAGTTAATTGAGAAGATACGGTATTATAAACAAGAATCGATTCTACTATGCCGGGATTAGAAACAACGAAAGAATTTTTGAGTTAGGTCGCAAAACTCTCGCAATTGGCTTTGAACTAGGTACTAGATGCCAGTCTGCTCTGATTCTGTTCTATTCCTCGTAGAGTAAACTTTTGTTAAATGGTGTGAATGATGAACAAAACAAAACCTTAACCCAAATCTTGTACACAAGTCCGAATCTAAATCTATCTCAAAATTGATTACATTCCTAACTTGAACATATCTATTCTAAATAGTCTGCAATTTGCAGATGACACTGTTCTGCTAACTGAGAAAGCTGAATTACTCCATCAACAAATTCGAAGAGTAAAAGAAACTACTGAGAAAACAGGACTATAAATATATACCCGAAGAACAAAAACAATGGTATTCAGCAATAAAAAAACTCATAAACATGCGCATATCACAGGCGAAACTATCGATTATGTCGAAAAAGCTGAACACATTGGAGTTCTCATAAACATGAAATAATGGCTACTCGGAAGACATTAAACAAAGAATTCGTAAAGCAGGTGGACCACTTTCTTGTTTGAAACTTATGGATAAGTGAAATGTTAAGAAAAGCGAACAAGGCTAGAATCCTCAAGATTTGCATTCTCAGTGTGCTTTTGTTTGGTTCAGAAATATGGAATTAAAAAGAGGTGAATAAGAGAAAACTGATAGTATTCGATATGAACTGCTGCTGGATAATATTAAAAATCACCTACAAAAATACGAAACAAAACGCCGACATTTTACAACAGAACTACAGGCACAAAAAGCTGTCAAAGAAACAATAGTGAAAAGAAAACTTTTACTGTTGCCTCATATCTGAACAACGGATGCCAGCAAACTCATATAGTGCAAACTTTTTGTTACAATGAGAAGTAAATCTACGAGAGTAAGACCGTGTGAAAAATGGTTAGATGGCCTCATTGAGTGATATAATGTCGAGCCCCAATACTTGTTTCACTTGGCCCAGAAAGGAAAATTGCGAAAAAATCTGACACAACTGCAGTTGGCCTCAACGAATGATAAATCTGCGACACACTATTACTATTATTTTAATAAGACCGTTGACGACCGTATGGGTTCTTGAGAAAGTCCGTCTTAGAGCACCTTCGATAGACATCGAGATGAAATACAAAAAACAAGCTCTGTACAAAAATATAATACGATCGAAAGATCATCAAACTGCAATATCAAAAATGTTACTTATTCAGTCCAGTTAGCTGCCATAAAAAAGGAACAGGCGAAATGTAATAATATGATGCTGTATTTCACATCTTTTCTACGAAGTTGCTCTCTTCTAGTGATTATATTTTCATCTCACGCAAATATTTTTCTTTTACTGAAAGAGAAACCTAAAATAATTACAGATGCAGTTGACTAGCATCGATCGTACATGCAAAAAAACTCTCAAGTTGGTTGATGTACTTCACCGAACCTAACACTTTAATTTTATGATTTTTTCAATTGTGAATGCTTACGGAATGAAGGCGTCCGTGTAAAAGAAAAATAAAACTTTCTCTACACGTTGCAATGAGTGTTTACGCACAAATACAGTAGTCATTGCTATGAAATAATGCACACAAGTGTGTAGGTAGTGACACGTATGGGGTATGGATGTGAGAGTGAATGCGTTTACGCGTATAGATTGGTATGGAGGGAGTGGGTGTCGATGGACTGTTGATATGGTTATGGATTTGAGTGTGAATGCACTGTAGGTTTGGTTATGGATATGGGTGCGTGCTTCAATATTTCATTTTTTCATACCCATCCCCATACCAGTGATGCAACGAACCCGAGTACTTGGGGTTTGGTACTAGGGATTTTGATTTGGTTTGGATTCGCATCCGGATTTGATACCTGGTGTTTGGATTTCTTTTGGATTTGTTGAGAGTAAGTTTGAATAAGAGATATACTACGACACGTTTCGGCTTGATTTCAAAGCCTCATGAGGTGGTTTATGACTTCATAACACAAATGAATTACAGAATAATTCAAAATGTCAACGTAGTATGTCACGCCAGTTACTGGGGTTTTCTATCAATCGAGTACACTTCCATGAAACCGTACTATATCTATACTAGAGCCGAGTATCGTAGTCGCTACACTCTAAAATAAATAGGTTTCTTACCGAACTTCAGTGGTTCAGTACATTTGATCTAGACGGTTTTAGGTTAGGTAAAGTGAAAATCGTTTTGTAGCAATTATACAAAACTTTTCTAAATTCAGAAGAAAAAGTAGGGTTACGCAATTTTTCAACCGAACTTTATGTTAGTTGGGTGTGGTGTGGGTATATTTAAACAGACGAACCACACACCCACACCCACACCCACACCCTTAACCAAAGTGCATCAGTACAATTATGGCTTACGAGTCCGTCACATTGTATTTATGGTAATGATACAGTTATATTTGAATGGCAACCATCGAAAAATTCTCCATGTATGGATTGTGTATCATGGAAACCTGAGCGATTATATTTTCAATTCAGTGAATTTTGAAGAACCACAGGAACTAATCGTTACTCGAGTTAAAAATGGAGGCCTAGAAGAGATGATTCCTGGTTTTCATGGTGGTGGATACGAATCAATTTTTGCTTATGCTTATTCAATCTATATTGAATAATTATTTTTTTTGTTCTTATAATAATAATCGAAAATAAAAGGAATGGAACTTGCTAGATGATCTATCCACAAAAAAATCTAGCAGAAAAAATTTATTTTTAATTCATAAACAATAATTTCAATTATAATAGATGTATGACCTTTCAAGTTTTTAACTACTGTCTGTAACTTTGCGACGATGACGTGGATTAACTTTATGGTGTGGGGTGTGTGTGTGTGTGTGGGAGTAGATTAATCAAGTATCCACATTTATACACCCACGCCCACTGTTATATATCGAGTTGATTCAGTGTCGCAATTTAAAAATACGAAATTTATATCTTTTCTTTTCGAAAATCTTGTGAGATACATAGGTCAATGCTATTAGTTGATAGTCAATATGAACTATTGCAAGGAACTTTAACTTCATTCGTTTGGTTTGACCATTGATTTGTTTATATCAATGACGGAAACTTCCCTGATTAATTAGTGAAGACATTGAATGAACAAAAAATCTTTTTTGTTTTTTGGATATTAATATCCGATGTTGTTCAATAATCAATTTTTTCGGAAACACAAAAAAGTATTTATTTGATTTTTTAGCAATAATTCAGCAATTCGATATGCTGCTACTCTCAACGAGAAATTATTTAACAATCGAAATTCACGCATCAGTGATCAAATAAATGAAAAAAAAGAGAATCGAAGCTTGAATAAGAACTTTCTGCTAAGGTGAATTGTTTGAGAGAATCATTCAACTTAGGACTTCGAATCCATGACATTCATATAGCTCCTTCTCCATCTAATAATCCTACAATTGATGTTAACCAATGACGAAGACAAATTTTATAACTCCATTCTATGCAGTGCATTGATTCTGGGAAAAAATGGATAGATTAAGGTTTTTTCTAGGACTCGATTTCGAGGTAACATGAGTCACATCACCATGACGCATGCATATGAATGAGTTGCGTATCAAGCATATTGATCAACCTTGTATTGAAGGTGGTTCTTTGAATTTCTTTCCATATTAGTGAAAAGTGTTTGACAATGTAACAACATAATCATCGTTTATAATTTCCTTCTGTTCGATAAGCATATAGTTACTCCACAAGAATTACATGAAACAAATTCTCATCATATTAGGTAAGGTTTACATAAGAAATGTATAAAATGAGCTTATTTAAGTTTTGATCCTGATCGCATTAACGCACATAATTTTGGCACACCCCATTAAAAACGGCACATTGCCTGGAAGTTCTACTTTGCCAGTTGAATCAATCAACGATACTTCTCAGAAAGAATGAATCAACGAAATCGGCTGCATCTACTTAGATTTTATCTTGAGCTTTCTTAATATTTCTAAAGAATTGTGTTTTATTTTATCTTAAACAAGTTAAATTGGATTTTTTAGTTTTTTATATCAAATGTTGTAGTCTAAATGAAAGAAGGGTGTGGGTGTCGATATAGAGAAATCAACTCTCCCACTCTCAAGATCATGACTGCAATTTTAACTTATTTGTGGGTATAAGACTGTTGTAAACCGATATTCACACATCCTAAAAACGTGTACAGAAGAAAAAATAATTTTTCAAAGACGACAAAATATTTATTATAGTCCTTAATACACACTATAGATCTATTTACTTTTATTTACAATAGCACAGTTCTATTATTATATTCTGTAACAATTAACGTTATCTGCCGTTTTCAAAGCTAATATATTTGTACCAAATACAACAGCATTGTTAACTGTTGGTTCGTATGAACGCTTTGCCTTTACTTGTCCATCTTTACTAACATGTAAAAGATGTGAAGTTTTGTGATCGATTACAAGCCATTCGTTATATTTGAGTACACAAACACGATTTACCCAGCGTCCATAATGATATGATGCATCAAACGTGGTTGACCAGAGTTGATCGAATGTTGATGAAGATCGAAGTTCTATGCGCTTTTTGTTGTTGGTTCTGTTTTCTATTATTAAAGCAAGTGTTTCATTGTTATAAGCAATATTACTGATGAGCTCGTCGGAGTTACAACTTTGAGGAGATTTCCACTGTTTCATCAAATGAAATGACAGTAAAAGATTGAATTGAAAAATATTAGAGCCGAATTCATTCGTCGTTAAAAATAAAGTTGAATCTGAACATGTACAAGACAACCATTGTTTCTTTTCGATCGTTTGAATACATTCAAGTAATGTTAGATTTTCATTCATCAGAAAGACTCCATTTTTTTCAGTTATGATAATAAAACTGTTTAATGCCGATGACCAACACATATCAGGAATGGAATCATATTCCCATGGATATTCTTTTAAAAGAGTCAATTGTTTATCATATAAACATAAATTTGGATATTGATCTATTAACAAAAAATGATCGTTGCTAGTCATGGTAGGCCAATTATCTTTGGAACAAGCAATTGTTCGATAAGGTGACGAAAGAGTTGATATATCAAGTTCATTCGATGTCGATTGTTCAATAGAAATTAAATTTTGATTAATAATTAAAGGATCGACATCGACTGCAATGCCATTCTCTTCATATTGATTAACGTCACGTTTCATATCATTAATAGTTGCTTTCAATGAAGAAATGTCGTCATTTGTAGCTTCTTGTTCTCGAATAAGTTCATTTGTTTTTAATTTTAATTGATGAATTTTTTTTCGTTTTTCACCAGCTTTTTCAACACAACGTTGTTGAAGTTCTTGACATTTTTCTTCATAAAAACGATCAACTGTAGCATGACATTCATGACGCCATTTATCCAATTTTTGACGACATTTATCAATAACTTCATCAACATTTAATAACGACAATTGATTATCAAGAGTATTTATTTCGTCAACAAGAGGATTCATTTGTGAATTTATTAAATCAATATGTACTTTCAAATGATCAGCACAAAGATTCGTGTTGCAACAATGGCATAATGCTCGTGATTTACATTTACATGTTTCGATAGTACATGGTAGAGACATTATTTTATCGAAATAGTAATTTTGTTTTGTCAGTATTTGCGAGTATATATATATATAGTGTTCAAAGGAAGCGAGAAATGAATGACGAGGTCCAACATGACCCGTCAAATATATACAATAACCGCCAGGTCTATCCATTGTGATTGATCGCCAATAAGAATAATACCCTTCAATAATGTTTCAACTAATTCAAAACAATGATACATTCACCATGTCGACGTTCTTTCTATCTATCTATTGTTTTATCCAGCATAGCCAGTGGGACACAAAAGCAAATGAACAATCGGTTTGATTAAACAGCCCAAATAGCAGAGTAGCAGGTGTGAGTATTTGTATTCATTGTCCCCACATGATGTTCAATGATAATTTATCTGTAGAATTTTAAAATTCAGGCGAATTCCATTGTTAATGAGTTCAACTTGAATGAATTAGTATCGAAAGCTATTCGTTACATTATTGTCTTTTATTTTTTCTCTTGGAATCATGTTCATCATAAGAATTTATAAATAATTCTTCGTATAAACTAACTGTTTGGATTTCTATGTTTTGTAAGTGAAGTTTGTTCTTGAGTAAATAATTCTTTTCTTGAAAGTAATGAAACGAGAGTTTGCTAATAACAAGACAGTAGATGAGAAAGAACACGATACAAAATTAACATTACGATCATCGAGTGATGTTTATAGAGTTGATCATTCTTTAAGAATAGAAGTTTTTCAAAAATGGGTATGGGTGTATGTCTATTGTTCAAATCCACAACCACACCCTTCGAATTTATCGTTGCGTTTCAAAATCAAATTTAATTGATAATATGCAATCGAACAGTAAAGATATATAGGGAATTCAATAATTTTATTCTTAGTACGAGTGATTTTCAATCGAATGAAAAAGATAATGATACTTTTTCTATCGCAATTCGAAAAAATTTGGAATCTATTTTCTAAAAATCTGAAAAGTAACTATCGAAGTTTTGGATGCATAAATTAACCATTTTTTTCTCAGCAAAGCATATTTTCTTTATGGTAAATCATTTATTCAAGTACAGTTCATCTCTAATGAAGAAAAGTACAATAATTAGTTTACTACGTGGAATCATTTTTCTCAAAAAAAAAACGTGCGCTTATTTGAAAAAAGTATATACCTGTATACACATACAGTTAAAAACACTTAAATAAACAAATGCACAGTAGTGGATCTGGGGTTCCTACATGGGTGTGTGTGGATTGTATTTTTCATTGATAAACTCACCTTCAAGCCATATATTTTGTTGTAATGTTGTTCTTCTTTTTCTGGTGATCATAAAACGCAATGTTATGAGAAAATCACATCATCGTTTATTGTTGTGAGCAAGGGGGAAACGGCAGACTTGAAGTAGAAAAGTACATCAAAGTACTTTACTTGAAGTAAGCTTAAAGTAGCTTAAAGTAACTCAAAGTAGCTCAAAGTAGTCCAAAGTAGTCCAAAGTAGCTTGAAGTAATTGCAAGTAACTTCAGGTGAATTTGAAGTTGAAAAGTACTTCAAAGTACTCTACTTGAAGTATGCTTAAAGTAGCCTAAAGTAGCGCAAAGTAGCGCAAAGTACTTGAAGTACAAAAGTCTGCCGTTTCCCCCTTGGTTGTGAACCAGACATTCAGCCTACTCGTTTCATACAGCAGTGGATATCTGCAGTTGAGGTTTTTGCTACAGCATNGATGTTGCCATCAACCCTCACGATTTCGTCATCGCAACATGTGTTTGATCAGAAAAGATTCTTTACCTCTTGGTAACTTTGTAATAAGCAATTCAAACTAGTTGACCTGTAGAACACCATATTCTTCTCGTTCTGACACATCACTCACTTGCATCCACCTTGTCCTGTGTGGAAAGAGTAGCGTAGAGACAAAAACGATTTCGTTCTCTGCATCTCATCTAGGAAATTTGCTTTTTACAACTTACCAAGCGATAAGATATAATGAATGAATTTACAGCAAGCTGGTTCGAATTTTTACTTAATCCAACATTGATAGATACGTTCTTAACAGAAGAAAATCTCGACATAACTGGCACTGATTTGATCATTCAATTTTTAATTAGTGCAAATTTAATTGAATAAAAAACAAAACTTAAAACAGCCACGGAAAATCCAAATGATATCGAATTCGAGCATTGAGACATTTGGCAATAAAGATAGCTGCTAAACTTAATTGGGATTTGGTAGTATTGAAAAACGCATTCCAGTTGCGGTCGCTTCAGATCTTATTCATTGTTTTGTACGTTTGACAACTCAAACTGATAAAAATTACAAAGATCGTGTACAATTACAATTATTAATTGAAGTAGACGAGCCAGCACTATTCGCCGTACAATTATTACATCGACGGACCGTAAGAACAGTTGTTCAATCATCATTTCCGATGAAATCAGTAAAAATCTTTCAAGTCAATGTAGCTGGATATGTACATCCATTGCAACATATGCGCGGACCTAATGAGAATGTCATAGAGATGGCACGTCCCAAGGTGAGAGAAAGTATCCAAGCATTAGAAGTTTTACTCGAATGCAAATCAGCCGTACGCATACCTATAGATGCGTGTTTTGATTTAATTGATATTAAAAATGGTCTAGTACCATATGTGATTGGTCACGTACAAAAGTCTATCCGCTTGTTGAATTTACTGCAAGGATTGCTTATGATCTTGGTTCAATATATCTTTATGAACAAAATTATGTTAATGCTTATACAATGTTTCGACGTGTGCACGGTTTAAAAAATCAATTAGAATCATCAAATCATTTTTCATCATTAGATGGTTATCGATTAGAAGAACATCATCAAGTTGGATCATAACAATATAGAATTGTATGTTCATTTAATCTTGTTCGATGCTTACTCGATGGTAGACCTACAAATACATACTCAATATGGATTTGATTATCTTGAAACAGCTCTTCAACAATTAAAACAAGTGACACCCAAACAACAATTATCATTGAATAGTTTTTTAAAAATTAATTTTTATAATTTAACAAAAAGTCTACAAGAACAATTACGTCTGGATAAACTTACTCATCTTGTTGGTCCAAACTTTTCTACTCCTACTTGGCACACAAGAAAGCAACAAACAACACACAACGATCTTATTTACTTGAAAGACCTAATGGTTCAGCTCAATTTAAATGTCAAACATGTCTACTACATTCTTTCGAACCTGAAATACTCTTACAAACTATAACAGAATTAGATAATGCAAAATTACTACAAATATTTATTGAACTATTTCCACCGTCAATAATGCAATCACCTGTTGATCAATCGTTGAATATGATTATGAATACAAATCATTTACTTGGACAATTAATTCATATTCTTCATGAAAAAGTTAAACAAGCAAAATTATTTAGTAATCATACTCAAAGCTGTATATTATTAAGTCAAGCGATTGATATTCTTAGTCGACTTCATCATCAAGATATTCTATCGATTGGACAAGTAGTTAAATATCTTCATTATGATCGATTACTATTTGATTTAACGGAATCGATATCAAAACAAACATTTCTTGACAATGAAAATAATTTATGGGAAAAATGTCAAAGTTTTCTGAAAGAAAAAAATCATTCAGACAATGATGTTAATACAGATCTTGTACGTGTTGCATTAGCATACGCACTGTCAAGAAATGAAATGAAATTTATACAATCGTTAATACAAACAGGACGTCGAACACGTTTTTATCTTGATTTAGCCGAAGTTTTTGCACGTTTATTAAATAATGAAAGTCAACTACAAATACGTCCTGAACTTGTACGTGGATTATGGGATAGAATATTAGATATATTATCAGATAAATTACAAGGACCAGGTGGTGTTAAACAACAATCGAGAAATCGTCATCAACAATCAAATACTTTAAATGATAAACTATCTGTTGTTGATCTACAAAAATTTCTTATAAATATTCATCATCCAATTTTAATACAAATCATATTTTCACTTTCATCACGTCTCTATTCACTTATATTAGTTGAACAATCACATGTCGATATTTATTCTGAATATTCACGTTATTGACCAACATCTATTGATTATCGACAACGTTCAATGTGTAAATCTACAGTAGCACAGCTTATACAAGTTCTATTTGAACATATTCAATCATTTAAATATTTACCTATACAAATAAAATCTTCTTTATATCGAACATAAGCAATGCACTTCTATATTGATGCAATATCTATTGAAACAGCTATTTTTTCATCACCAATAATCAATCAACAAGATGATACAATTATTAGAAATATGATTAAAGCTGCATTACAACTTGGTTAACATACGCAAGTTGCTTGTATATGTCAATTACTTCCAACGCCTGATTATAATATTATATTGAAAACATTACAAGAAAATTATATGAATGTATTTGGGATTTAGCATTGTTAGAAAGTTTAATAAATAATCTGAGTTTACGTGGCTATGAAGATAAAAAAAAACATTAGCGATTCGAATATGTAAAAAAAAAGATTTAAATTGAAATAATTTCGATGAAATACGATTTCGTATGATTCGTGTTAAACGACGACTTTTATTTAAACAATTATTTGCTCACTATCTTTTACCTCATGGTCGCCTATATCGATCACGAGCCATGATGAAATTTTATTATCAACAAATCACTTTCGATTAAAAATAAAATGTAGCTCTTTTTCTTTTTTTTTGTTGTTGCCTGTTCATATTAACTTATGTGGAAAAAACCCAGATATATTTGAAAAACAATTTACTGATCTAATGCAGGTTGCGATGACGAAATTGTGCGGGTTGATGTTGCCATCGACCTGACAGAGCAACATTTTTCAATAAATAAAATTAAAATGTACAATCAATAGATTGTACGAATACCATGTTACAGCAGTCTTCAGTAATGTTAATACACAAACTAAACAACTACTGCATAATTAAAACAAAAGATGGGTTGTTTATCACAATCGGAACGATCTTATTATGTATACTCTCAAATTCATATCAATCACTTTTCTTCGAGTAGCACTTCCAATATTTTTTAGTTTTATCGCTCAATTTTGAGTATTTTGATTGTTTTTGAAACAACCGATTATTGAAAAATAGAGAACCGTCACGGCAGCATTCAAAGTTCCCTTGATATTTTATTTGTTAAGGGAAATGTTGCTCTGGCAGATCATTGTTTCCAACAATCCGCACAATTTCGTCATCGCAACATGTGTTTGATCAGTCGAGAGCATTTACCTCGTGGTAAGTTGCAATAAGCAATTTTCCAAATGGAGATCCAGCGTACCAGATCCCGCTTGTTTTTACACTTTCCATCAACGAAAGCAATCCAATAGCATTGTTAAAGATGGCAGTAACGTTGTTAACTTAATAAGGTCGTCTTGAATAAAGTCACATGGGGATGAATCGCAGAAGTTCAAGTCGATGCTACGGAAGATAAAAGTAATCTACATTGCGCAGATTTCATAAAATAATTCGAAGATTTAAGAAAAACTAAAAGGAAAGGGAAGAGAGTTAAACTTGCACCCAGGTCGAACGATCTGAACCTCGGATCCTGTCGGATCCCATCGGAAACCTTGAATAATCCGATATTTTCCGATAGGAATCCGACAGCTTCCAACGGGTTCCGGTCGGAATTCGTCGGATTCCTTGGTACTGGATTCCGACAGGAAGTTATCGGGTGTCGGATCCGACGATTTCCGACGGTAAAATCCGACAATCGGAAAATCTCGGA